AGCTCCTGCTCTGCCATCTGCTGTTTTCAGCAGCTCATACAAATGGCAGAAGTTGTGAAATTAAAGAGAAAAATATCATGGAGCAGGAAGGCCAGCCATTCAGGTAGGCTCTTTCATGGTGGCATTGCCTCCTTGAGGACCTGGCTGTGCTCATTCTGGTCTATCACTTAATGTGTGTTGACACTCATTTTTATCGTTTGATACCTGTGGAATCAAGGTAGACCAAGAGAGAATCAGACTCATGCTAATGACTTAAATTCACGAAACCCACAGGATACCAATGTATTCATTTGTAATGAGAAATATTCCCAGCGGATAAGAATCCACATATCCGCCAGCCCAAGCATTCTCTCCTCTAAAGGCAACTTTTATTATAATCAAAAGTTTTCTTGGAGCCCAGAATTAGAGCAAAGAGAGTGGGTTGATCTTAACAGATAGTATCACCAATAATACCTATAATGACCAACACTTTTTTGAGCAGTGACTCTATACTAGGCACTGTTCTAATCTCTCTCTCTCTCTGTATATTCATTTAATCTTCACACCAGTCTCAGGAGTGAGCCTTATTTGATGGGTGAGAAGCTGAGGTCCTGACTGGTTAGAAACCCACCAGCCTAGTCAGTGGGGAGCAGTGTGTGAACCTCAGCAGCCTGGCCCTGGACCCCACAGCAGCTTAGCCTGGAGCTCTCCTGGTCACTGCTTTGGGCACACATTGCTCCAGGCAGGCCTGGAGAACCTCTGGTTATCTTTTACTGTCTGTGTCAACCCTTTTATATAGTCTACATAATCCATGGCCCTTGTCAAATGATGTCATTGCTTCTGACAGTCCCAACACGACTGACGCGTTACCCTTCCTTAACATTAATGATGTTCCTGTCTTGCCCTCTTGAAGACACACACACACTGGTCACCTGGATTGAACTTGGATGTTTTCCGTAGAGTAAGTTTCTTCTACAAGATGTTTCCTCATTTCACAAATGAAGAGACTGAGGCTCAGAGTTAGTAATTTGACAAGGAGCACCCAGCTAGCAAGTGGCAGAACCAGAACTCAAACGCAGATCTCTGACCAAAACTATTGTACTGTCACAGACGCCATATAACCTGTGGACTTGGAGAGTGGGTCAGACGCTCAGGTGTACAAGTCTGAAAGATCTGGGCTGGCATCCCAGCTCTACGACCTTCTGGTTTTATCTTCTTACACAAGTTACCTTCCCCTCTCTGAGCTTCAGTGTCTTCACCTGTACAATAGGCTTCGTAGCAATCTAGTTCATGGGGTTGTTGTGAGGATTAAATAAGCTAATAGCTTCAAGTGCTTCCTATGTGGATAGGTTCCAGAGCCTAAGTATATGGTAAATACTCAGTAAATGGTTGTGCTGTTGCTGCTGCTGCTGCTGCTACTACTGAACTGTGGTATGTCCTGTGAGATCAGAGCCAGGGCAGACTGTGTAGTTAATAGTATTTGAAGGGACGTAGAGTCTGTTTTTTCAGGCCCACTCCTAAAGGGGGTCATAGCCTTCCTTAAGTGTCTCAAAAGCTGGAACAGTGCCTTTCTTACTCTTACTCATAGTATGTCTCTGCTCTCAGTATGTATTTAATGACTATGTACAGGCCAGAAGCTCATTAATTTTTACTTGGTTTTGGGATATCATGGGAATTAGTCTGCCAGAGTTCTAAGTTCTTGACAGTAGGCTAAGACCCAGAACTAGTGGGAAGTGGGACATAGTTTTGAGTTTTTAGTAATGGTGCCGAAATTTTTAGTTATGCCTCTGATTTATTCCATTCTTAGAGTACTTTTCCTGGATAAAGAAAATAAGCAATTACAGGAGAACAGTCTCCGGCTCACACAGCAAGTTGGCGTCTTAGAGCGCATTATAAGTAGCATCCAGATTCGCAGAGAAGAGGTAAGATGTGTGCTTCCCGCCAGGTTTTTAACATGAAATTTAGGTGGCTAAGGTTGCTGTGTTCTCTCTGCCCCTCATCTTCTTATAACAGCTGCAGCCTGCACTTGACCTCACGGTGGGCTGTGGCAGAGTCTCACTGGTACACACCAGGGCAGCCGACCCTGAGTCTGCCCTTGGCCAACTTTGCTCTTCATTGGGTCAGCTTTTATTAAACACTCTCCTCCTGTGTGATCCCAAAGCAATTTATATATTCATCAAAGCTTCTTCCTTAACCCGCTATATTGTAGCTGTCTTTTTACTTCTCCATCTCATCCACTCGACAGTGAGATCCTGGAGGGCAAGGATTGTATCTCGTATGTCATTGTATCTATGGACAGGTGCTCCGTTCATATTTGAGAGTGAATGAATGTTAAATGTTTTCACATGTATGCCTCATTCTCAACAACCGTGTTCGCCACGTATTGTTCCAACCCCATCTTAGAGCGGAGCAAGAAGAGGTAAAGTGAAGCTAGTCTGGTCTGGCGAGGAGTCCAGCCTAAGGAGGACATGTGAGTCAGAAAAAGCAATTCTGTTACAAAAATCCAAGCAGACAAGTAGCCAGGTCCAGAGAGGTATGGCCCATAGAATAGGTTCAGACAAGGTCCAGAATCTAGTTGGTAAGCGAGTCAGCAAGAGGGACTTCCGGGAGCAGATTGGCATTTTCAATCCAGGGTAGATGTTGCTTGCTTTCTTCCCTGGCTTGTATCACTTGCTAGATGTTTCTTCCCAGAATACCTCATGTGGAACCTGAGTGTTGAGTACTATTGCTATGAGCATAAGGCCTGCACCTTGTTTGCTTTCAGAAAGGTGATTATTTCCAAGCCATGTAAGATGTTTTGCAGATTTTGTCAAAAATAGAACTGCCAGATTATGTAGCCTAATTCTCAGTAGTTTTTGTCTTTGCTTGAGCTACAACTGTTCTCAATTGCCTCGTCGTTTACTCTTTTATGTGTTCATTCAACAAACATTTATCAATTCCAGGAACGATGCTACATCCTAGGAGTATGAAGATAGACCCCGTTTTCAGAGGCCCAGTCTAGTACAGAAGGACAGACTCATACATGAATAAGTAGCATAGTATTGTAGGTGCTGAGTTAGAAGCCTTAAGGGAATATACGCTGGACCAATAGCTTTAATATCCACAATATTACAAATGAACAAACAAAAAATAAACTCATAGATATGTAGAAACAGAATATTGGTTACCAGAGGGGAGCGGGGGGAGAAAATACTGAGGTATTTTATAGAGTTAAAGGGGGTCAGATATAGGGTAACGGAAGGAAACTAGACTTCGGGTAGTGAGTACACAATTGAGTACAATGTATGATAAAAAAATACGGTGAATGTTTAAATAAAATTTATTACAGTAAAAGACACATTGCCATTAATCCCTCTCAAAATACGCCCCCTCACTTCGAACACACTTATCCCATCATTCTTGCCACTTTCTGAAGCAGCTCTGAAAGTTCTCTTTTGTGAGTTTCTTTATGAGCATTTAAGAAATGATGTGGTAAAAAACAGCCTGAGAAATGGGCAAATGGTTTCACCTTTCTTCATGACAATGCTCCATGTGTCATGCATCGCTTCTGGTATATAGTAATTTCTGTCAAATAAAAACGTGGTGTGTCCTCATCCACTTCATTCAACGAATCTGGCACTGTGTGACTTCTGGCTCTTCCCCAAAGTCAAAATTATTCAGGACACCGAGGCAGCCACGACAGTGCACCTAAAGACACTCACGAAAGAGGACTTCCAGAACTGCTTCAGAAAGTGGCAAGAATGATGAGATAAGTGTGTTCGAAGTGACAGGGATTGATGGTAATGTGTCTTTTACTGTAATAAATTTTTTTAAAATTTAAACATTCACTGTAGTTTTTTATCACACCTCATATATATAGTACTATAATGCTGTACCCCTGAAATTTGTATAATGTTTATAACATGATACTCCATTAAATTTAGTTTCTAAAAAAGACCCACAATATTATCCTCAAATCAGGATAAAAAATGTCACATGGGTCAGGACTGTAGGTACATCGAGCTCAATATTCCATTTGTGACAAAGTACCAACTTGTAACATCTTGACACCTATTGGAATAAACAACTTGAATATTGTTTATAAACTTAGAATCTTAAGGATTTTCCAATTCAATTCCCTTATTTTATCCTGGAGGGAGATAAAACCCAGAGAAGTTAAATGAGAGTCTTAAGATCACACAGCTGCTGCTTACATTTTCCAAATCTCTTGATTTTCAGTGATTGAGTATCACACAGTGCAAATAAATCAGTAGATAGATCCCTGAGATCAGACATATCCTAATTCTCTTCCTTCCTTGCAACACCTCAGAGGCTAAAATGGTGAGAGCTTGACATTTGTTGAGTGTGGTACTATGCTAAGCATTTTATGTATATTATCTTGTTTAATCCACAAAACAATCTTATGTAAGTCTGTCATTCCATTTTCACAGCTGCAGAAACTGAGATTTGTCAGATGACCTAGAGAGGTGAAGTGACAGGATTGTCCAAGTACATAGCTAATAAGTAGAAGAGCAAGGACTGAAACCAACTCTCTCTGGTCCCTTGGTCCGAGTTGCTATCTATTAACACCCCAAGTCTACTCTTTCCCTTTCAGGGGCATTGAAGTAACTAGGGACATAGCCTTGTAATAGACATATTGCTTCCTGTATTATAATTCTTTCTTCTCCATTGGATTATAAACTCCATGAGAACAGGAACTCTGTCCATATTGTTACCCACTGTATCCCAAGCACTTAGGACCTGGGTTACTGCAACAACTTCTTAATTCATCTCCTTTCAGTCTTGCCTCCTACTCTAATCTGTCCTGCCCATCCTTCTAGACTAATCTTCACGAAGCACTGTTTGGTTTCATAGTATTTCATCTCAAAGAATTTCAGTCTTCCTTTGTCTAGAAGATAAAGTTCATTCTTTCAACAAATATTTACTGAGCATATATAGTGTGCCACGCCGCATACTGTTCCCCATACGGTTTACATATGATGATGAACAGGATACACTGTCTATCCTTAAAGAGGTCTAGTGCGAATGACAGTCATAATTGGCAACTACCATCCATTATTATAAGTACTATAAGCTTCAACATGTTAAAGCTTTCTCTGAATCCTAGTTTTTCCCTCCTTATATAAGCTTCTCATTTCTTTCAGGATAACTAAGAATTTCTCACAGAAACTTGTTGGTCTATATCAAAGGTTAAACTGAGGTCCAAGTTCAGGGGAATCAAGTGTATATATAATTTGGTCTGCATTAGTCTATGTTTTCTAAGAAAAAGTATTTGGGTTTTAAAGTCATAGAGCTCAAAACAAGTACTGTTTAATGATTTAAAGAGACAGAAAATGTTTGCCAACATATTAAGAAAAAACTTATCTAATAAGAGGTAATTCATGTAGAAAAGCATATATAAAAAGCAGAATAGCAGTGAAAGCATTAATATAAAAAGCATGACATTTATAATTACCAAATATGTTATAGGTATTAAGGAGTACACCTTTTTCCAGTATTATTGAGATATAATTGACATATAACATTGTATAAGTTTAAAGTGTACAACATAATGATTTGATATATGCACATATTGCAAAATGATTATCACTATAAGATTAATTAACACCCATCACCTCACATAGTTATAATTTTTTCCTTGTCATGAAAACTTTTAAGATCTACTCTCTTAGTAACTTTCAAATATACAACACAGTACACAGTATTGTTAACTACAGTCATCATCTTGTACATTATATCCCCAGAATTTATCTTACAACTGGAAATTTGTACCTTTTGACCACCTTCACCTAATTCCCCATTCCTCACCACCCCTCTCTAGCAACCACACATCTGATCAATGTTTCTATGAGTTTGGTTTTTTAGATTCCACATACAAATGAGATCATACAGTATTTGTCTTTCTCTGTCTGAGTTACTTCATTTAGCATAATGCCCTCGAGGTCCATCCCTGTTGTCACAAATGGCAGGATTTCCTTCCTTTTAGTGGCTGAATACTATTCTGGTGTGTGTGTAACAATTTTTTTATCCATTTGTCCATCAATGGATGCTTAGGTTGCTTCCATGCCTTGGCTATTATAAATAATGCTTGCAATGAACATGGGGTGTAGCTATGTCTTCAGGACAGTGCTTTTGTTACCTGCAGATAAATACCCAGAAATGGGATTGCTGGATCATATGGTAGTTCTATTTTTAATTTCTTAAGAAAGCTTCATACTGTTTTCCATAGTGGCTGCACTAATTTATATTCCCACCAGTAGTGCATGAGGGTTCCCTTTTCTCCATATCCTCTCCAGCATTTATCATCTTGTGTCTTTTTGATGATAGTCCCTCTAACAGGTGTAAGGTGAGGGGATTGCATTTTTAACATATATATATATATATATATATATGTATATATATATATATATATATANTATATATATATATATATATAGAGAGAGAGAGAGAGAGAGAGAGAGAGAGAGAGAGAGAGAATAGCTCTGGAATTATAGTGCCAATGGTTTATCATTAATATTTTTTAATTCACTCTTTCTTTCCTTTTAGGAAACAAGTAGTGGCATCCCTGAATTTGAAGTATTTAATAAAATCTTGCCTCTATCAATCTCCAGGTTAGTAAAGCCAAGACAGTTACCTATATGCCTGAGAGTCATGGCTGCCTAACCAGTCCTGAGTTGCTGGCTTGAGAAAGCATAGCATGTGGGGGTAGTTTTCTCTATATTTAGTACTTAAACTTTCCAATTCCTTCTCCCTTCACCACTGCTTTACCCCCACACTTGACAGACTCTTGACTTAAAATAGAAGATAATCCATAAACATAAGTTCGAGGAAAATTTTATTTGGTTGTCTTTGTGTTTGACAGTTGTCAACACTGAAATCGTATTGAAGCCTTATCCCTGTATCCCCAAAGTGCTGCCAAGAGACCCCCATCGACACACAGTCCTCACACATGACCTTTCTTAGTTTTTCAGGAACAGGTTTGGCACAGTCCATTGGAAGTCTTCAAGAGACCAAAGAACATAAGTCAGAAGAAGCAGTGGCAAACCCCAAGTCCTTCAAGTCTCTTACGTGTTCACAGAGTTCCAAAGCTGGATACATAAACATGGCTCCTCTGAAAGAGACACACTGCATCCAAGAACAAGAGCAAAAGTCTGAACTATAAAGTCACTGGTGTCTAAACTAGACTGATCAATGATGCTGCTAACTTAAAGCTTGGGCGTGAAGGTAGAACTTGATGTGGAAAAGAGTTAAAACAGATCCTCACTGGATATCATCAGCCAGGAGTCTTCAAAATTGCTGGTAAAGTCATTAAACCAGTTCTAAAAACGGATTTCTCAAGTTTGTTTGATATGCTCAAATGCCTTGTGTTGATCAACATAGTGACTTAAGTTCAGTGAATTAATAGAGGTTTCTGTTCAGCAGAACACATATAAAAATTAAGTCAGTATTCTTTCCTAGTATTATGGGTATTGTCTTATTTTTTTTAAACTAAAAATCATATAATCACATTAAAGCAAATACTTTAAAAAGGAGAAAAAAACCCTCCTACAATGCCACATTCTGAACACTACTATTTTCCTTTTGGAGTTAGTCCCTTCTGATTCTTATTCAACTTCATATATTTGAAATGATTATTATATTGTATTTTCACAGTCTGATTTTAAATTTAATCACCATAAAACACTTTCCCATATTTAACTTTTCATAATTATTCTTTCAATAGTCATGTGATAGTCTATTATGTTGATGTTGTATAAATTCTCTGGCTATTTGACATCCAAGTTTCAACTTTTTCTCTAATTAAGATTATGCTGTGGTGAAAGTCTTCGTGAAGTAAGCTCTTTTCTTCTCTTAAGTTAATCCAGTCACAAGATAAATGTTAGAAAGTTTTGGTACATCACTTGTCTCATTGCTTTTTAAAATGTGTCAACATACTACTGTTTTTACAGTCAACCTCTTTAAGCCTCAATTTCTTGATGCATAAAAATGGGAACAATGGTACTTCCTATCCCATAGGGTCGTGAGGACCAAATGAAATGAAGCGTGTATTTTGCACTGAGTAACTACTTAATAAATGCTAGATATTTTCATTTCTTTTCACTTGCAGTTTGAGTGTACTAGTTTTTCCACAACCTCATCAACATTGGACATTATCAATTTAAAAAATTTATTCTAAAATAGTTGGTATAGGGCCAGCCGAGCGGCTCAGTTGGTTAAGCGCGCAAGCTCTGGGCAACAGGGTCACCGGTTCGATTCCCACATGGGCCAGTGAGCTGCGCCCGAGCTGAGCTGCCGCTGAGCTGCCAGATGGCTCAGCTGATGAGAGCACATGCTCCTAACAACAAGGTTGCTGGTTTGACTCCTGCTTGGGATGGTGGGCTACGCCCACCCGCAACTAAAGTTGAACACAGCACTTTGAGCTGAGCGACTGCGAGCTGCAGATGGGCGGCTAAATGGCGACTGGACTTCGAGCCTTGCTAGCTGCGCCCTCCTCAACTAAGACTGAAGGACAACAACTTAACTGTTTCCCTTCCCCAATTCCCCAATAAAATCTAAAAATAAAATAAAATCGTTGGTATAAAACTATACTGAAGGGTGATTCCTGCTGCTCCTTCCCTTTCTCCCTCTTTCCCCCCATATTCTCCTCTTCCTTCTTCATCTTCAATTGCAGGTAGAGAGGGGACCAAGGAGAGAGGGAAAGTAACCAGAAATAAAACAGCCCCGTAAGTTGAGACATAACTGAATTTTTTTTTTACTTTTTTTTAAAAGATTTTATTGGGGAATTGGGGGAGGGAACAGCATTGGGGAATCGGGAAAGGGGAACAGGCAAGTTGCTGTCCTTTTGTTCTTCAGTCTAGTTGTGGACGTCGCTTCACTGGCCCATGTTGGTATTGTGATCATTATACTCTTCCCAGCTGAGGCAGATCGGTTGCCAGCCATTGGACGACCACTCACAGCAACTCAGGGAAGCTCACGCTGGCTGCCAGCCACTCACGGTAACTTACGGTATCCTACGCTGTCGCTGATGACTCATCGCAGCCCAGCTCCAGGTCGAGCTGTTGCTCACCATCTTAGCTGTAGAGGGCACAGCGTCACTGGCCCATGTGGGATCCAAACCAGTGGCCCTGCTGCTCAGAGCTCGCGCTCCCAAACCAACTCAACCAACACTCCACTCAGCCGGCCCCAAGACATAACTGAATTTTTATGTGCAACCCTTGCCTCCTCAGACCACTGAACTGGAAAGGATGCTCAAAAGATATTGGAAATAATAGCTATGATATCAAATACTTGCTCTGCTCTGACTCCAAAACTTGCGCAAGTTCACCTTCTTTCACTCAATTCATTGAATCCCTACTATGTGCTATTCAATAGTAGACACTGTAGCCACACCTGTGAAGATAGGCAAGGAGAGTCTGCTTTCATCCAGTTAATATGCTATGAAGTTGGAAGGTATATGTGTGTGTGGCAGGAGGTGAAGTGGGGAGACTGACCATAGAATTTTGGATGGTGAGTGGGTGAAAAAAATAAACCAGTGATGTACCTGAAAGAGTGATTGATGGCTACTTTAGATTGGGTGCAATATTCCTATCTGAGTGACATCTGAGCTGAGACCTGAACTACAAGGAGCACGCCCCACCCTCATTGAGATCTAGAAGAGTATTAAAAACAGTTAACAGCTAGTACCAAGACCCTAAAGAAAGGACAGTAGTCACCCTTATCTGAGGAGGATAAGTTCTGATAAAAGTGAACTGGCATCTTAAGATGACTAACCAACCATAGAGCTGGGAGGGCTATGGGTGGAGCTGGGCCCCTTGTTAACTCTCTAGTCCTGACTTCCTGTTAAAACTGTGGTAACTTCTGGGGGAGGGATTCATATATACAGAGGTCCTCTTGGGAAGGGGGCTCTCTTTTTTTGCACGTGTGCAGCCAGTAAGCGCTCCAGCCAGAGGTGTGCTTTCCCACACTGCTGTGCTGGTTTTGTTTCTTTTTCTTTTCTTGAATAAACTGCTTTTTGGTGGATTGTCTGAAGAGTTATTTTGGCCAGTTGACAAGACCCCCAGTGGATGCCTGAAACCATAGATAATACCAAACCCTGTACATACTATGTTTTCCTATACATACATACATATGATAAATAATTGATAAATTAGGCACAGTAAGAGATTAACAGTAACAATAAAATAGAACAATTATAACTATACTGTAATAGTTATGCGAACGTGGTCCCTCAAAATGTCTTGTACTATACTCACCCTTCTTGTGATGTGAAATGATACACACACTGCCTACGTAAGATGAAATAGGGTGAATGACACAGGCATTGTGACATAGCTTGAACACAAACTCGATACCCTGACAGTTGATCTAATAACCAAGACACCTACTAAGTGACTAATGGGCAGTTAGCATATACAGCACGGATATGCTGGACAAAGGGATGATCCACATCCCAGGTATGTAACTTAAAACTTATGAATTGCTTATTTCTGTCATTTTTCATTTACTATTTTTGGACTCCAGTTGATAGCAGGTACCTGAACCCAGAAAGGTGAAAACATGGGTAAGCGGGGGACTACTGTGTCCATCTGTGACCTTGAGGAACAAAGGCCAGCAGTCTATAGTAACTGAGGGCGAGTAATACAAGATGAGGCCATGTAGGTGGCAGCCAGATAATGTAATGTGGGCCTTTGTATGTAAGGAATTAGATTTTATTCTAAATACAGGAAGCCGGAAGTGATTTATAAGCAGATCTGTTGAAAAAGCCATAGCTACTCTCCCGGAAATAATTGGAAATGACAAAAGTGGAAGCTTGTGGCAGAACTGGAACTAAAATTCTAGTGTCCTGACTTCAAGGAAGGGCAGAGTATTTATTGATCACACCTTATTCACCAGGCTGTTATAATCGCTGAGGATGAACCGAGTTCCTGCCTTAGTGGGACTCACAGACTAGTAGGCAGGGGTAAGAAACAGCACGTGTGATGGTTCAGAGATCTTAGCTGCAAGGGTTGATAAGGACCCTGGAGACTGCCTAGTCCAAACACCCTAGCCTGAGCGAGCATAATTTGAACTTCACCTAGTGTGGCCATGTGAATGGGCTGCCCTGTTGACTTTGAGCAAAAAAAAAAAAAAATGCCCAGACATTCCTCCTCTTCTCCACCTCCTCCACCTGCACCAGCATCCCCACCCGCATACACGTGTTCTACACCCTCGTCTCCAGGGACAGTCAAGCGAGCTAACAGCTTGCGGCCATGTCACGGTCAGGAACGAAGGAAGCCCTGGCCACCGTACCATTCCCGTTTACGCGCGGAAACCAGCGAGTCCTCTGCAGCGAGGGCGGGGCTCCTGGGGGGCGGAGTCCGCCCTCAGTCGGCTCGTCCCGCGCCTGCGCCCGAGACCAAACCTGCGGCGCGGGGATTGGGTTCACAGGAACCCGGCGCTCCCGACTTCTACTTCCGGGTCAGAGGCATGGCGGTGGCAAATTCAAGCCCTGTCAACCCCGTGGTGTTCTTTGATGTCAGCATCGGCGGCCAGGTGAGGTCCAGGAAGCCACCTAGCTCTGCGCCTAAAGGAAACTGCATGGGGCCAGGCAGGTAGAACTCACCCGTCCAGGGATAGCGGGCTCGGGAAGCCAGAAAGGGAAATGAGACCAGAACCTACCGACCTGTGAGGAGTGGTGAGGGGAGGCGGATGAGGAGTCTTGTCCCTCCTTAGCCCCCATCCTAGCGCTCCGCTTGTGGAAAGTCTGAGCGGAACGAAAGGATAAGCTATAGAGGCAGAGGGGGAGAGATCAAGTGGGGGATGGAGGGGTCAGCCCTTCATGGCCCCTGTTCGGTGAGGCCTTCACCGTCTTGGACTGGGCCTTCTCACCGTCTCCCGCCGGTTGCAGGAAGTTGGTCGCATGAAGATCGAGCTCTTTGCAGACGTTGTGCCTAAGACGGCCGAGAACTTTAGGTAAGGAGATGCTCCAGCTCTGCCGGATTAACCGCCGCAGAGGTTGGGCCCCAGTCTGCGGAATCGTCTTCCTACCTCCGTCCGCCCACTCACTGCCCTTGAGAGGCGGTTCCTCTGGGTATCGCTCTGTCTGAATAATCCCCGTTTTGACCATTGCCATGTGAGTTTATGTTGTCTGTCTGCCTGGGGGTCTGGACGTCTGGCTGGCCTGTTGGTGGGCTTGCTGGCGCCACTGTCTGTGCTGTCCCCTCCGGAGGTGAGGGGCGCTCACTGCTGTGACGTCATGGTGACTGAGCCCTTCTCTCTTTTCCCTTTCAGGCAGTTCTGCACAGGAGAATTCAGGTCAGTCTCAGACGTGGTTGACTACTCTGCGTGTTCCTGAGGGGGTGTCCTGGGGCTGCAGTAAGGGTATTGGGGAACCACTGGCAGGCCTTGAATGATTGCTGGTGACAGTAATAGCAGCTAGTACCCCGAAGGTCTGTCTTCAGTTCATTTGCCATCTTTATCTGCCCTGTCCTGACCATCTTTAGGAGATCCCCTTTGGCCCTTTGGCTGTAGTGTGTGATAAATTGGAAAGGTCTGTGAGTGGTTACCCGTCATCATTCCAAGTCTCTTTCTTTTTGGTTATAGAAAAGATGGGGTTCCGATAGGATACAAAGGGAGCACTTTCCACAGGTAAGGCCCATGGCAAACCATCCTGGGGGCTTTTAGACTGACTTCCTTGGGGGATTAGTCTCTTTAGAGGAAAATAAAGCCACAGGATAATTGTTAGATTTTGAGAAGGAATGTTTTTGTGACCTCAGCAATTGATTTGAAGATTTATTAAAAGCCAAAGTGATAAACATTGTATTTTGAAATCAAAGTTAATCTAAACTACAATGACTAAGTCAGTGTTTTTCCAAAGCACAGAATCTTATCTCAGAATCCTTTGTTTTCTTTTTCAGGGTCATAAAGGATTTCATGATTCAGGGTGGAGATTTTGTTAACGTAAGTACTGTTCCTTTCCTGTAAAAAAAAAAAAAAACTTATAGGATTTTTTTTGTTGTTGTTGTTATTACTGCTGCTGCTATTTTTGCTACAGAGACCCAGTCTTAAGGCTTGAGAACAATAGCCAAGTTTGATGGGGGGAGGGGATGGAGATGGCAATGTCCTTGAGAATTGCTGGCTCCTACTCACTGTACTACTAGAGGATAGACATCAGCACTTTGATTGAGTCACTGACTTCCAAATCTGAGGCTTTTAGGGTCAGAAACTGACTGA